ATTGGAAAAGAATGTGTACTTTGCAGCGGTTGGATGGATTGTTCTGTATATGTGTATGAGGTCCAGTTGGCTGATTGTGCCCTGTCAGCCTCTTTCTGAGCCTGTGCTAATACCCTACAATGCTCCTCTGAAGTTAACAATGTGGTCAAAAGAGCCTGAATGTCCACCCAAGTAGGGGCAATGGGTGGAGAAAATGGAAAGGAACAATTCTGCCATTCTATTTGGGTCACTCTGATAAGGAGGATTGTGATTCTTCCACTTATACAAGTCGGAGGTAGAGAAAGGAGTGTTCATTAACATCGTTCCTCCTCTGGCTGGAACTTCTGTTAGAGGAAAGTGCCTTGCCCAAGTCCTGGCAGCACCCTCACCAAAAACAGTACCATGATGGGTGTGGGAAGGGGAAGTCATACCTGAAGCAGTTGAACTCTCACTTTCCACCTCTCTCTCTCTCTCTGCCAGCCTCCTCCACCCCCTCCATACTAGAATCAGGCTCCATCCCTCTCCATCCCAACCTGTCGGCTGCGACCGAGCCTTCCCTATACTGGGTGGGGGTGGGGACCGAAGCGGGTACTGGGACTAATCCTTCCAAGAGGGAGTCCACTGTTGAGGATTCAGGGAGAACCTTCGCCTTCAGTTTTCCCTGAAAAAGAACTTGGTTAGAAGGGTTTATGGTCTGGTAAAAGGACATGAAAGCTTGGACATAGGTGACCACATCCTATTTCTTTTCTCTCCTACAAAACAAATCAAGCTGCAGAATCGTATTGTAAGCCATAGACCCATGTTTTGGCCAATTTTCCTGGTCTCCTAATTAATATTGGAGCTAAACATTGTTGCATAAAAATATCAATTTTTTCTTAGTCATAGGTTCATAACTGTACCTTTTCCAGTTTGCTAGAATACAACCCAAGGGGGATTCAGCAGGGATAGATGAACCTCCCTCCATAGAAGGTGCTTTCTCCTTGGTGGATATTAATAGGCGAACTTCTTCTGAGTACAATGCTGATTTATTATACTATCTACCTGAAAATCCACCTCACTGATTATGCTTGATTCATTCAGAATTCCCCAAATTCCTATTCTGGGCCCCCAACCTCCCTGGGGGCATCCTGCTAGAATGACTTGAGCATGATAAACTTCTTCTGACTGATGAAACCAGTTGTCCTGACTAAAAAAAACGGAACTAGAAATATTCATGAATCTGATGACAGGTTTTATACAGATAAGAACTGACATGTCCATGAAGACGGTGTGAGATCTCTGAGGCTTCACAAGGACAGACATACATACACACAAACAGTAATCAAACACAAACCACAGTGGATTTTTCAGTCCCACACTCAGCCAGCCCTACACTCAAAGCAATTCTGGCCACTTCAACCTCTCAGACAACACTCTCAGATGACAGAGGTGGTCTTAGCGACCCCATTCATACACCTTACCCTGAAACTTGAAACCAAGACTCCAGAGACACCACAAGTCCCTTTTCACAATCCTATTCACAGGGTCAGTCAACCAAGGTGCCACTGGCCTCAGAAACAAAGGGCTCAGGTCCTGCTCCAGAAACCTTGGGCCTGCCCTATCCACCTTGGCCCTGAGTGCAACAGGGAGAGGAGTTGTGGACTCATCTCTTTGGGATCCCTCCTATGCCAGTCTTGCTTCCTTTTCACCCACCTCTTTCTGGCATGGTTGGGGATCGGCAGTGCCATAGCAGGCCCCAGTCCCACCTACAGTCTCCCCGGAGGCAAATGAAACCTCTCACTTGTCAGGAGAGCTGCTGATCAGTCCCAGGCCCTGCCCCGGGGCCACTGCGTCTCAAGCGGCTGGAAGCCCCACATTGGGTGCCAAATTTTTTACCGCAAAACACGGATCTGAGCCGCCAGCCACAAAAGCCAATACTGAGACAGGGGTGAGGTAAGCAGCAAGAGGGTTTTATTGTATATCAATATACAGGAGACAGAGGGGAGTAAGCTCCTCCAAAAGACCTGTCTCTCAGAACTGGAGACTGGCTGAAGGTTTTATATAGACAGGATTATAGTTTCTCCTCACGTAGCCACGATTGACACGTCTCAGATGAGTTAACCTCTTACTGGCAATCCTTGAAGGTTGTCTGGCACCGTTAGTCATGATTGTTACATTGCAGATGAGTTAATTCTTTTACTGGCAGTCCTTGAGGGTTATCAATTTGTTTTGCCATCCTGCAAGGAGAAACTTTAGTTAATCTTACTGGAATAGAAGAAGGGAGAAAGAAAAAAATATATATCATGAGGAAAAGAGAAAGCTAGTAATGGTAGGAATTAATTATTCAGCAAAGGTGGTAATTGAGCTTATGCAGCCTGTTCCACCATGGCCTCTGGTGTTTCTAAGGGTGGAGTCGCCACTCAGATGGACTAGGAGAATGGTGCGCCTAAAGCTGAGGGAGCAGATCTGCTGTCCCAGTGGGCCTGCAAGGCAGAGTTAAAGCCCAGGGCTGAGGGGCCTCCACTCAGAATCTAGACAATGTGGCCAATACCTAGAGTCTGCAGGGCAGGGCCATTGTGTAAATGGTCTCAGAGAACAGAAGATTATTTACAGAGCCTTGAGGGCTAAAGTAATGTGTTCTGTTAACTTTCTTGGTGCCTGTTATGCCTTCTTTCCCTCCAATTTCTCCCATTTGTAATGGAAATGTCTAGCTTGTGCCTGTTCTGTCAATTGTACTTGCATTCTAGATTTCACAGACCAAGAGGAATTTTTTTGATTTTAGAGTTGGAGTTAAGACTTTTGTTATGATATGATGGGGTGAATATATTTTGCTTGTTGCAAGGACATGAATTTTGGGGGGCCAAAGGGTGGAATGTCATGGATTGAACTGTGTCCCCAAAAAATATCTGTCAACATGGCTAGGTCATGATTCCCAGTATGGTATTATTGTCTACCATTTTATCATCCAATATGATTTCTCTATGTGTTGTAAACTATCACTGTGATGTACTAAGATGGATTAGCAGCAGTTATATTCATGAGGTTTACAAGATTAGAAAGTGTCTTAAGCCAATCTCTTTTGAGATATAAAAGAGAGAAGCAAGCAGAGAGACGGGGGACCTCATACCACCAAGAAAGAAGCGCCGGGAGCAGAGAGTGTCCTTTGGAACTGAGGTTCCTGTGCTGAGTTGCTCCCAAAACAAGGGAATATTGATGACAAGGACCTTCCTCCAGAGCCGACAGAAAAATCCTTCCCCTCAAGCTGACGCCCTGAATTTGGACTTGTAACCTACTAGACTGTGAGAGAATATATTTCTCTTTGTTAAAGCCATCCACTTGTAGTATTTCTGTTATAGCAGCACTAGAAGACTAAGACACTTTCCATGAAGAAATGTGTTCAAAATAAGAGCTGGCTCCCATCTGGGTTACAACTTACTTGTTATTAAAGAAATCATTCAACTTTATCAAGTGTTAGTAATTGTGTTGCCCTGATTTTAAAGCAATACAGATCAGTGTATTATTGATCCATGGGCTAGGTCAGATAGTCTGGGGAACTTCTTTATAAGCTAGGCCTTTGAGGTATGACTTCCAGGGTTTGGGAGCCACCTGTTGGTGGGTAAAGCACAGGTAAGGGGCCAGGTGTGGGGATTTGGGTTTGATATCATCCAGCCATTTGGGTGATATTGCTCTGGTCAGTACTATATTTGTCCAAAACTGTGCTCTATCATTAACCTGTTCTGAGTGGAAAGTTCCAAACTCTACAGATTAGAGTTATGGCTGGTATTCACTCAGGTGACATGGTAAATGGCAGTTAGTAAATTTAGTAATCCCTACAAACTATGACCTGGAACACCACACGTTTCCTCCCTAGCCCTGTTTCTTCTTTTCCCCCTTCTTCAATGCTTCACTCGCTAGTCCCTCTATGCCCTTTTTGTCCATCCTTCTTATCCTATTGTCAGTTGGGTATTATATAGAACTAAATCATATTTTTGTTATACTTATTGAATACAGTTTTACCCTCTGTGCTGTTTTAAAAGAAACAAGGGACTCGTCTGGCCCCCGAGAAGAAATAAAATTAACAATTAGACTCTTTGAAGGTAGTTTGTGATAGATTTTTTTCTATTAATCAATTTCTCTTTTTTTTTTAAGTTATGTATGCCTATTCTAAGGTCCCTGGGTGAGGTAAACAGTTTGCACTTGACTACTAACCTAAAGGTTAGCAGTTCAAACTCACCCAGCAGTACCACAGAAGAAAGACCTGATGATCTGCTTCCGTAAAGATTACAATCAAGAAAACTCTGTGAGGGAGTTCTACTCTGTAACATGTGGGGTCACCTTGAGTCTGAATCTACTCAACAGTAATGGGTTTGGCTTTGGTTTGGTATGCCTATTCTCCAGTACTTATATTCCCCCAGGTTAATCGGCAAAATCCCCACATTCTCTGAATGGCCTACTTTTGCCCTTTATGATAAAAGTCTCTTCCAGGTCTTTGGAAACGTAAGCATAAGAAGGGATTATAGTAAACCCTATTACACTTGTAAAATTTCATGGGATTAAACCTCATTGTTTTGTTTCTATGCTTGGGAGAAAAGGTATGAAGCAAAACAGAAATTGCATCAATGAGTCTTTTGTATCTTTACATTCACTCCAGAAAAGTGCTGCCAGTATTTGAGTCCTCATAAAGCTTTGCAAACTACAAAGCACCATGAATATAAAAATGAGGTTGTTTTCACTTAATGTTATGAAATCGCCTTTATTAGCTGTCACGGATTGAATTATGTCCCCAAAAAATGTGTATATCCATTTGGCTGGGCCATGATTCCCAGTATTGTGTGGTTGTCCTCCATTTTGTGATTGTAATTTTATGTTAAAGAGGATTAGGGTGGGATTGTGACACCCTTACTGAGGTCAAATCCCTGATTCAATGTAAAGGGAGTTTCCCTGGGATGTGGCCTGCACCACCTTTTATCTTACAAGAGATAAAAGGAAAGGGAACCAAGCACAGAGTTGGGGACCTCATACCACCAAGAAAGAAGCATCAGGAGCAGAGCATGCCCTTTGGACCTGGGGTTCTTGTGTGGAGAAGTTCCTAATCCAGGGGAGGAGAGATGTCAAGAACCTTCTGCAAGAGCCAACAGAGAGAGAGAAAGCCTTCCCCTGGGCTGATGCCCTGAATTTGGACTTCTAGCCTACTAGACTGTGAGAAAATAAATTTCTCTTTGTTAAAGCCATCCACTTGTGGCATTTCAGTTATAGCAGCACTAGATGACTAAGACATTAGCCCAAGACCAAACAAGGTCAAAGGTCATCTCCTCCCTTCTCTCTCTATGCCTGTGGAGCTTCCCCAGCACCCATGCAGAGTTAGTTGTTCTTCTGTTTAGGGCTCATGCTCCTAATCTGTAACTTTACTGCATGTGGTATTTTT